GTCTGTTGACTTGATCTGTTACAACAGTCATTGGCGACACAGGCACGGGGGTAGGAGCCATGTCACCCCCGCACCCCTCCGCTCCCCCGCCCTCCCCCGCGCATCGATCCCCGCCCCGCTACCCCCCCGTCCCGCGTGCCCACACCGGACCAAACTACATAATCTACAAAATCCTAAAGTTAGTAAAACAAAAAAGATCCCCCCCCCCCCACATCCCTTCCCCTTTCCCTTTCCCATCCCCTCCCATCGCTACCCGGGTATAAGTACCCTTCCCCATCACCGAAATCTCCTAAACAACACGCAATCTAGTCTAGTTGCAGTCGCTTTAGCTCACTTGGGAGAGCGCCAGACTGAAGTCAACGTCTTCTCGGTCATTACATCTGGAGGTACTGTGTTCGATCCACAGAAGCGACAATTCGGGTTCTGCTGGTTTTGTGCCCTTGGGTCCATCCATCGGCCGGGGACCACGAGAACATCTTTTTTTTTAATATATATATATATATATATATGTATATTTTTGGCTCGGGTGTGGAGGGAATCAAAGTGGACGACAGACAGACAGACAGACAGACAGACAGTGCATGAGCGCGCGCTCTTTTTTTTCTTTGTGCCTGTTTGGAGGAGAAGGATCACCCCCCTCCCCTTCCCCTTCCCCTTCCCCCCAGCGAATGAAAGAAAGTTGGGGTGCGGATGGCTTCAGACTCTTAGTTAAAAAAAAATGTGCGCGAGAGCGTAGCCCGTTCTGCCGCAGGGTTCGTTCGTAACAAGCAACAGTTCTATCCATTTCTTGACGATTTCGCGAATGTCCAATTACACATATATCCCCAAGGCTGTAGTGTATAGCTTTACTTTGTAAGTTGGTTTACATGCATTTCCAATCCCTGTCCGATGAACTCCAAGCTCCGTGTAGATAGATACGGGAGCTCCACGACGACCCGCCTAGAACTCTCCGTTGACCTGCAGCCCAGCGACGCCGTTCGCAATACCCTCGGCGGCAAGCCCGTTGGCAGCTCCGCTCTGATACTGGCGCGTGATCTCATCCAGCATGCCCGCAGACGCAGCGATGAAGCCCAGGTACGGACGGCTGGGATCAAGGACGCGCGACAGGTACTCCGGATGGAACTGGACGCCGACGAACCACGGGTGGTCCTTGATCTCGACCACCTCCATGCGCACGCCCTCCTCGTCTTTGCCGACAAAGTGCAGCCCGCCCTCCTCCAGCTTGCCGATGTAGTCGGGGTTGACCTCGTAGCGGTGCCTGTGGCGCTCAAGGATCTGGTCGGAGCCGGCGTACAGGGCGCGCAGTTTGGACCACTCGGAGCCCGGCTGGAAGAGGGTGGGGCGCAGGCCGAGGCGCATAGAGGCGCCCATGGTGGTCTTGTCGACCTCGGGCATGAACATGATGAGCTTGTTGGCGGCGTCGCCGTTGAACTCCTCCGACGTGGCGTCCTTGATGCCGCAGACGTTGCGGGCGTACTCGATGACGGCGATCTGCATGCCCAGGCACACACCGAGGTAGGGCTTCTTGTGCTCGCGCGCCCATGTGGCAGCGGCAATCATGCCCTCTGTGGCGCGGGAGCCGAAGCCACCAGGGACGAGGATGCCAGACGCCTTGACGATCTCGTGCCAGGCGTTGTGGAACTTGGCAGGGTCTGCCTGCTGCATCTTGGGCTCGAGGTGGTCCGAGTCGATCCAGCGGATGTCGAGCTTGCGCTTGCAGCGCATGGCAGCGTGCTCGAGCGACTTGACGACCGAGAGGTACGAGTCCTGGAGCTCGACGTACTTACCGACGAGAGCGACCGTGACAGGGTCGTGGAAGCGCGTGTCGTTGCCTGTCAGCGTCTTCCATTGCGTCCAGATCTTGTCGCCCTTTTGTGTCATGGCCTGGGGGATGGTGACCCTGTTCAGGGCAAGGAATTTGCGAACGAGGGGCACCAGCTTCTGCTGCTCCAGGAGCATGGGCACCTGGTAGATGGAAGGCATGTCCTTGACCACGACCACTTGCTCAGGCTCGACCTGGCAGAAGTTGGCCAGCTTCTCGATGACCGACGGCTCGAGTTCGCGCTCGCAGCGGCAGGCGATCTGGTCGATATCAGTCAGTAGGCAATAGTAGTGCGAGAAAAAGGTAAAATACGTACCAGATCCGGGATCATGCCGTTGCTGCGCACCGTCTTGATGGCGTGCTGGGTGGGCTTGGTCTTCTGCTCGCCGTGGATGATGGGCACGTACGAGACGTGGATCTGCATGAAGTTGTCGCGGCCGGCGCGCCTTCTAAGCTGAGCCATGGCCTCGACGAACGGCATGCTCTCCATGTCGCCGACGGTGCCACCGAGCTCGATGATGCACACATCGGGCTCCTCGTTGGTGTCGTCGACGGGAATGCGGGCGACCTTCTGCACCCACTCCTGGATGGCGTCGGTGATGTGCGGCACGACCTGGACCGTCTTGCCCAGGTAGTCGCCCTTGCGCTCGCGCTCGATGACGTGCTGGTAGATCTTGCCCGTGGTGATGTTGTTGTCGCGCGTGAGGGTGATGTTCAGGTAGCGCTCGTAGTTGCCGAGATCGAGGTCGACCTCGCCGCCGTCAGAGAGGACGAAGACCTCGCCGTGCCTGTGCGCTGCTCAGTATGCTATGCCGCCCAGCCAGAGTGCAGCAGTGCCTACTCCTTGGGGTTCATCGTCCCCGCGTCGACATTGAGGTAGGGGTCGATCTTGATCGAGGAGACGTGCACAGCTTGTCAGTACAGCCTGCACGCGGCGTTGCACTGCATTCCATTGCATGGCGGTGCTGGCAAGTGACTTATCTTGAGGCCGAGCGTCTTGAGCAGCAGCCCAGTCGAAGAGGCTGTCGAGCACAACGTCAGTGTCTGTGTCTGCACGTGCAAATCGCTACTCCTTCGCACTCCTTCGCCGCGACGAGTCGAGTCCTACCTATAATGCCCTACATTTCTGCATTAGTCTTACGCTTCAAGCTACCAGTTCTACGCTCTTACCTTCCCCACGCCGCTGATCACACCACCTGACACAAGCACGTATTTCATAATTGCTTTCGGTGCCCTGGTTACGGTTTGGGGAAGGGAAGGAAGAAATCTCCACGTCGCGGCGCGTCACAAGAAATTTGTAGCGGCGCGCCCGCAAAAGTGGGGCAATCTCGCCGGCCAACCTTGGGACGACGCCAGCTGAGGCGCCAGTCAACTCAGCCGAGCAAGGAAAAGACTAACGTCCACCTTTCTCCCTTCTCCACATTGCATTGGACGTGACATGTCATGTGTGAGCTCCTCGATGCCAGCCTCAATTCTATAGCCTGCAAAACTCATGCTATCAAATGGTATCGTGCGCAATGAATGCCTGCTAACTTCAAATGCTTCGCCCCAGCCCAGTCCAGCCGTCTGAACTCTCCATGGACGTCCTCCAGTGAGAATCCTGAAAATCCATCGCTGCAGTTGCCAGCAATCATACATCCTTCATCATGTCGTCAGATCAAATGCCAATCAGTATCCGCACAAAATGCTCCAGGTGCCAACACTGCCACTGTCCCGCGCAGTGCTGAAAAGAGTTGCTCGCTTAACAACTCTCCAAAGAATTACATCCTCCAGCGAAAACCTCATAGCCTACGTCGCCGCTTCATCTCCTCGTCGTCCTCGTGCTCCTGGCTTGCTGTAAGGCGTTTGCGAGCCAGGGCCTTCTCGTTGCCTTTCTTGACCTGGATGTTGCAGCCCTGCAACTTCAAAGCCCTGGTAAGTGCGCTGCTGGGACGCATGCCAGGAAAGTCTTTGGCTGTGTATACCGTAAACACATCGCTCATTACCTCAGTAAGTATTGGCGAAGACCCTCCCACGTGGAGGTTCATGGGGTCAATACGCATCAGCACGAACCGAAGACGGTACCTGCCATGTGTACGGCACGACAAGTCAGGAAAGCAAAAGAAGCACCCTTCGTTGTCATGTTCATCCTTGGCTACCGAGGGCGAAGCTACAAGCTGGCCCATGAGTCTGCGTGTGGTTCGACGGTCCGGCTGTATGAGCGCTGTCTCCTCGTTGGTCCCGTCCGCATTCCACAACGTGCAATGCACCACGTTCAGCGAATACCGAAGCTCTTCTTGTTCGGCGACACCAGTCTTGGGGTCCGTAACGAGCAGCTGGATGATTGGTGGGGGGTCTATGACCCTTCTATCACGTTCACCAAACCCACATGCTCTTGCTGCGACAGGCTGTTGTCGAACGCGGAGTTCAAAGTTCAGATTTCTGATCGTGTCAGCTAATGTCACCGCACCAAGGCGTAGGCGTGCTTACAGTTGCTCGTTATACACAGGCTGCGGTATGGACCCAGGCAGTGGGGTCGCACGAACCTCTTTCCGAGGTGGAGGACCAGGTGCGTTGGGTTCGGGGTAAGCTACCGACCCCAAGGGAGCTGCTACGGATCCTCGCTGCGAGTGCGAATAGGAACCAACCGATCCACGGAATGTGCTACTCGAAGCGTAGCTGGGCGTGTATCCAGGCGACGGGAGCGGGGCGTAATGCCTTTGCTGCGAGGATTCGACTGGTGATGCAAGGGACGGGTATGGCTGGTCATGTGGCGGTGCATGGTATATATGCCGAGGTTCGTCATAGGACGAGTAGCGCTGCTCATTCACCCTCCGTGCTTCTCTGTTGTCATACTGCGAACGGGGAGAAACTGATGGTCCGTAGGCCTGGGGTGAGTAAGGTGCATCCGGCCTTGGTGGCGTGTATGGATGGGTGTGATGTACAAGTTTCTCAAGAGGTGCTGCTGGTCGGTAGTGTGCTGTAGGTGCTTGATGATGCTCGTGCCGTTGTGCTGGCCCTGGATGGATGGCCGGTAACTGGCCGACGGATGAACGATAATGGTAGTCCGCCCGTCGTGGCACAGCGTCGGGTGGGATTTCTAGCTGCTTGAGCTGTATAGGCGGAGGCAGTCGTCTCTGATTGAAATCCAGAAACCCTGGCGGTTGGAAGACAGGAAGCTTTTGAGTTTCTGTCATGTCTGGCGCTGAGGGTGAGGTGTTGGACGAGGGAAGAGACGGCAGCGGAGAAGGTGGACGTGGTGGTTGGGACATGCGTATATTATCATTTGCTCAGACCAGGACACGATGCACGGAGCCGAATTAGGTGGTCCACTACTGTACGCTTGTGTTCAGTTCGGAGGTTGCTTTACAATTCGGGAGCGCCAGGGAGTCGTGCAATGTGTTGGACAGAACGTCAGGAATGCGGACACTACCTGAGCTGTGGCGGCGCGAGAAGTTTATAGACCAGAGCCTTCTCATAGCCGACTGTCTACGTTTCTAGATCGCCAGCAGCCAGATCGCCGCCCAGATGCTTCAATTTGGTCACGGCGACGTTGTGTGGATGCGCCTCGATGCTAAGACATCGGCCACCCGGGAGCGAGAAAGGATGCGGA